AGAATATCCTTATACGCAGCAGAAATCTGCCTTCCCCATAGCTTTCAGCCAGTATAGGTACGGAAATTTCTTTTTGTAACAGTAAACTATGATTATTTTCATCTTTGCAGCCCTGACAATGCTTTGTAGCCCTGACAATCCATGATTGCTACATATTATCAACTCAGGAATATGGCTAATTTAGTATTGTACACTTGTAGTCTAACTAGAAAACCACCCCCAAAAGACAGTTAAGCACTAGAAGGAGAGGGTGTACAAATAATAATAAAATAGTGCTGAATAAGTATAGTTACAAGTAAGTACACTGTTTATAATTAATCATAATATAACAGTACATTCCGTAATACATAAGACATATATAACCATATATGCACTGAATAATTTAAGCTTTCTGACAATTCCATGAAGTAAATACAGCATGGTTTTTTTTGAAACTGGGAATTGAATTCAGGACCTCACACTTGCTAAGCAGGTGCCACACCCCTGAGCTATGGCCTGGCTCCAGTATTGTTATTTTATATGCTATTAAGGAATAAAAATAAAAGTGAAGGAATCTGCCTAGGGCAATTGCTAAGGCTGGAACTCAATTTCATACTATGTACCTAGAACTGTAACTGTGATTTGTAACACTAGAAAGCCTGCCATGAATCTGTCATTTGTATAATGAAAGACTTAAAAGAAGAACAATTATTGATAATCAAGTACTTTACAAGTGGAAAATGAAAAAGGCTAAAGAAAATGCAGATCTGGATATAGTAAATATAGAACTACAGTTGTTATGGTTTGTGTCTAGATGTCCCCCCAAAGCCTCATGTGGTCATGGGGGTGGGGGTGAGAGGTAGCTAGGTCCAACAGCGTGCGATGCTGGGATCCAAGGTGTATGATTAATAAACCAGTCCAGTGACTGGTTTGGTACAGCTCTGACTCAGATTCAGAATGTGAGCACCCACATTAGGGCAGGTAACTTGCATAAAATACAAGGAACAGAAAGAGGGCTCATGCGCTCTCGTCTGCCTGCTTGCCATGCATTGTCTCTCCTCTGCCATACCATCCTGCCTCGGAGCCAGCGGACTATAGACCGAAACCTCTACAGACTGAGTCAAACAAATCTTTTCCCTTTAACTTTGGATGGTGGGACTTTTGTCTCAGTAACAAGAAAAGTAACTAAGACCACTTAAGCACTTACCAGTTCAATTATTTAAATACAGAATGACCAAGAATTATATACTTTTCATTAGTTTTTATATACAACAGGAAACAGAAACAACTTTATCAAATTTATTCAATATAAGAATTGACTGATTGAAATGACACCTGACTGAGAAGTGCTTGGGATAGTCAAGTATGTAAACAAATGTGCTGCCCAAGTAACACAGGGTAAACTGTTTTAAGTCGTTAACTGTGGAGGACCACCTGAGCAGCTCTCCCTGAAAGAAGAGCGACTATTTCTATTTTGACTGAGCCTGACCCTATTTCCTATGTCCAAGGCTGGCTAGGACTTCTTTTTATCAATTGGCCTTAGGGAAATGTAGGCCACCCACCTAGCTCAGCTCACAATGATCACCTACTTCCCACAATTCTCAGTCAATCCTCCTCAAGCCACTACCCCACTGAATAAAAACCAGGTGAGGCCCTGGGTCGCTCTCTTGGTTCCAGAAAGCCATCTTCGTGGCTGGACTTAGAGCCCCTTGACTCCCCAACAATTGAAAATATAATTTAGTGTCTTTATTTTCGCCGTGCACTGCATTCTAAGTGGTAGATTGGAATCAACTTGATGGGATTCCAATAACATAACTATGGGATTATAAATATTGCCTTTTTGGACTGAGACGAGGTCCAGGAAGTGTCTCCTACAGGTAATGAAGCATGTTTACTGAGCCAAGTGAATTATTAAATGACACATTAACTCAGGCCTTTTTCAATGAGTTGCACTAAAGGAATTCTTGAGAAGTAGAAATACATGAGCCAAAGGCACTATGGAGCAAAGGTAACATGAGAAAACTAACAGGCACAGGAAACGACGGAGTTCATGGATAATGTACCAAGTGGCCTACTCTAGAGAGGTGACTCTAGGATGCCCAAAGGGATTGTCTGGATATTCACGTTTGCAGAGTATGGGCTTCAGATTTTTTAGATCTGAATCCTGCCTGGCTTCTTCACTTTCATCTGAATGGCCTTGGGTTTGCTATTAACCACCTGGGGTTTTGTTTCATCAACTGCAAAACAAGGATCAGGCATGTATTTAAATATGTGACAGGCAGTGTTCTAAATGCTAGATACAACTGCAGTACACTTATGTCCCTGTTCTCTTGGCCTTATAGTCTATCAAGAGACAGCACAAAAAAAATAAAGTCCAATAGGTCTACAAAAATATACTCTGTCTGCCTGTCTGTCTAATCTTTTGTACAGTCAATGAAAACGTCTCTCAGAAACTGCTCTATATAAATAATCACACAGGGCAAAAAAATAAGGACTAGGATGGTGATGGTGAAACTTTCAGAAACTGAGCACAGAAAGCAACCCAAAACCCACTTATTTATCACAAATTGCCAACAGTGCAATTAAATCTGAATGGTCTTCTGTGGGGCGATGCTTCCCATGCTGGCTCCAGGGCTGAGAGAGGGCTCTGTGCGCCCACTGTGGAATGTGCACCACAGGTTGACCACCACTGGACTAGAACAACCTTGATGACAAACATCACCTATATGAAGACTACGGTACATGAATTTATAACTCCTGATATGACACAGTAACTATCAAAAGAAGGCATGATTATTAACAAATAGAAGGGTACCAACCAAAGAAATAAAATTTCAAGGACAAAGGACAATATAGATTGAATAAGCAGACAACAATTGGTCAGAAATTATAGTTAAGAAAATCTACACCTCACACAGTGCTACAAGTTAAAAGTCAAGCCTACAGAATTCATCCCTTCTCATATTTAAATCACTCTATCTTTCAAAGTATTAAAAGGCTTTCCTAGACTAAATATATTCTTATTTATCCATAGCTTAAAGAAAATATAAATTCTTATTTATATATTGCTTAAAAATCAAACATGTAAATAACAAAATTTATACTTGCTCTTACCTTTGTAAGATAATCCACTTTCAAATTGTCGATCATCATATTTTTCTGAGATAACTCTATTTTCAGTAACTGAATATCATGAAGTAGTTCTTTTCGTTCAATTAGCTGCCTGGTGATTTTGACTTTACCTTCTCGCTCTTCAGATGATGAAATATCATCAGTAGGAATTGTTGTTTCTAAACTAATATCTTCAGATTCCAGGGAACTAAAGATGTTCACTTTTTTTGATTCTTTAGGAATTTTTCGAGACATCTTTTATTATTTCGGTTGTTTTTTTTTTAAACTCAATCTCCTGTTGATTAAAAAAATTAATTTAAATGAGACATTAATAGAAAGCAAAGTATACTAAGATATTAAAGAGTCCCTAAGTAACAATTTGGAGAATCCCAAATCTAAGGCAGATTACTGTAGTAAATTACAGCTCAAATAAAACACAGATTCACTCAGTCCTTCCATGAACCCAGCCCTTACTGCGTTGCAGTGCTGGGGACTGAATCCAGGACCTAGAGCAACTAGGCAAAATATACTGAGTACTGAGTTACATCCTTAGCCTCCTGACCTCTGGGCCCTCAAGAATTTTTTTTTTTTTTTT